TGAGATGCTAGCTGACATGAAGTAGTGCGGTTCCCAATCTTCTTCTGGGGTTGCTGGAGTGCCCGACGCGCCCCACTTCGGTGCTTAAAGAGGATAAAAGCGTATCCTTTTGATTTTCCAGAGACTCTGTCGGTAACCGCCTTACATTCTTCTATCTCCCCGTATTTACAGAACTCGTTGGTTAGGGTTTCAGCAGTGGTGTCCCAGCTGAGACCATGGACGAAGATCTTCCGGTGTGCGGGATCTGCATCTGCAATCTCATGGACCGAGCGGACAAATTCAGGGTGTTTATCAACGGCTTTCTTAACGAGGGCTATCAATTGATCTTTCCCAAACGGTTCCAGAAGCTTCTCGATTGGCTCTTCTTCTAGACCCTCTACTCGACTGGCTTCTTTTGCCCCATTAGCAGATTGAACATCCTCCTTCGATGCATCTAGGGTTTTGTTCTCCATCTCCTCGCCCTCTTCGTGCTCCTTCGAATCACTCTCATCTTCCTCTTCTTCTACTTCCACTTCCTCCTCCACTTCAACTTCCTCGTGAACTTCCACTCCTTGTTCTTCCTCCTCCGGTATGTGCTGGAATTCCTCTTGTTCCGCTTCTTGTTCTTCTCGTATCGTTTGTTGAGGTTGGTGATCGGGGATTCCCGTGGATACAGGCTCAGAAGATCGATGCTTTCTCTTCTTACCCATGACGGAAGATAAAATTGGGGTCGACGAGCTAGGGTTTCCGAACTGAAGAAAAAAACGAAAATCCCCTCGGCGTTCTACTTCTACCTCATCCCTGACTGGATCTACTTATTTACTATTTAGAGGGGGCCGAATCTGACGTAATAATTGTGTTATTATCTTGTCGGGCTTCGTAATGTATGTATGGGCTGGGCTCACAATTTAAACCCAGCAATATTCTTATAGGCTCGGCTTTCTCCATTTGCTTAGTTTCAAATTTCAAGGACTGTTTGAATTATTTTTTTAAACTAACTAATAATCAATAATTAATAATTTTTTAATATTAATTACATCATGGAAAAGTAATTTTATTTTATCATTTATTTTATTATATCTATATATCATATAATTTAAATTTAAATTTTTTTATTTAAATAAAAAAATTATTATTAAATTATTTAAATTATTAATATAATAATTTTTTATTATTATTTATAATTTAAATATTTAAT